CTCTCTCTCTCTCTCTCTCTCTTACTCTCTCATTCTGTCTCAAAATAAACCAAAAAAAGGGGCACTTGGGTGGCTCAATCAGTTAAGTGTCCAACTTCAGCTCAGGTCATGATCTCACAGTTCATGAGTTTGAGACCCGTGTCGGGCTCTGTGCTGACAGCTCAGAGCCTGGAGCCTGCTTCAGATTCTGTGTCTCCCTCTCTCTCTCTGTCCCTCCCTCACTCACACTCTGTCTCCCTCTGTCTCTCAAAAAATGAATAAATGTTACAAATAAACTAAAAAAAAGAAGTCATTACTATGCTCTGCTGATGATGACTACAAATGCAGTCTTGCCCAGAGTATGCAGAAAAACGTGAGCAATAATTTTTTTCCTGTTAAATTTATCAGAGTTTTATAGTGTAAAGAAATACATTTTCCAATCATGTTTTCCTTTCACCTCTTCAGGCCATAATCACTGCCAAATAAAATACATCAAAAAGTGCTGGAATTTCTCTCCCCAAAATATATCCAAAATCTGACCACTCTTTTCTGTCTCAGGTACTTCAATGCTAATCCAAATCTTGTTACTTAGGATACCGGCACTCAGTACCTCATGACAGGTTTCCTCAAGTCCACTCCTAAAAGTCTCAATTTTGTTGTTGTTGTTGTTGTTTTTAATTTTTTTTTAACGTTTATTTATTTTTGAGACAGAGACAGAGCATGAATGGAGGAGGGTCAGCGAGAGGGAGACACAGAATCCGAAACAGGCTCCAGGCTCTGAGTGGTCAGCACAGAGCCCAATGCGGGGCTCGAACTCATGGACCACGAGATCATGACCTGAGCTGAAGTCGGAGGCTTAACCGACTGAGCCACCCAGGCGCTCCCTTTTTAAAAATTTTTTAATGTTTATTTTTGAGAGAGAGACAGGCAGACAGAGTGTGAGCAGGGGAGAGGCAGAGAGAAAGATTCCGAATCAGAAGCAGGCTCCAGGCTGTCGGCACAGAGAGACCCATGTGGGGCTCCAACTCACAAACTGTGAGATCATGACCTGAGCTGAAGTTGACACCCAACCGACTGAGCCACCCAGGTGCCCCTCAATTTTGTTTTCTGATGGAGTGGAATACAGTGAGAGGTTTTACTACTTTCTCATTACGTTCCAGTTTGAAATGCTTTCAACGAAATACTGCAGTAATGTAAAAACTCATGCAGAATTCACATCAAATTTGTTTCTTACAGTGCTTTCTTACAGTATAGATAATGGTGAAAGCATGAACAGTCCGTAGCCATCATGGAGCACCTCTCTTTATGCTTTCTTCGAGACTAGAATGTTGTTCATAGAAGCAAGTTCTGTTCTCCATTGGTACATTAATGTTTTCTATAAAAGTTTCAGGGTTTCAAAATAGGTTTATATTTTGGTTGTTTAGAGGTTGTACTTTACCAAAGATGTGAGAGTACAAGTGTCACATTTGTAAAAACCTTCAGAATCCTGTCAACAGATATTTATGCGAACCAAAGTAATGTGGAATCTAATCACCACCTGTATATTTTTCCACATTCAAGATTTTTCTCCCAATTATAAAATTAGTGTATGCTTATTATGAAAAATTGCAAAATTTAGTACAGCAGCAGGCAAAAAAAAAAAAAAAAAAAAAAAAAAAAAAAAAAGTCTTGTACTCATTATCCAGAGTGGAATATTCTTACCATTTCGTAATATTTCCTTTCAGCCACTCTTCGTGTATTATGAACAGTAATACCCGCAAATTACAGAACGGTACGGAGGATAATGTATTGAGCCACCCAAAACAAATGTTAGTGTTTTAGTTCTTTGGATTAAAAAAAATCTCAACAATTATAATTTCTAATACTCTCTCCCTAGTCCTATTCTGCGTCCTCTATCTGTACCTCTAATGCCCATCACCCTTGCCTCCTGTCAAGAGGCAGCCACTATGACAGATTTGCTGTGTGTCTAGTTTTTCTGGTTCCACTATGTACTTGTGTGTCTGAAAACAACATAAAGTTTGTTTTGCATGTGTTTCAATTTACTCTGTGACATTTTGCTCTTTGCCTCTTACTGCTCTCTAGCCATGTTAATAAACACATACCTAGTTCACTCATTTTATTTTATTTTATTTTATTTTATTTTATTTTATTATTATTTTTTTTTTTAAGTTTATTTATTTTTGACAGAGACAGAGTACAAGTATGAGCTGGGGAGGGGCAGAGAGAGTGAGAGAGACACAGAATCCAAAGCAGGCTCCAGGCTCTGAGCTGTCAGCACACAGCCTGACTCGGGGCTTGAACTCACGAACTGTGAGATCATGACCTGGGCCGAAGTCAGACTCTTAACCGACTGAACCACCCAGGTGCCCCTAATTTTTTTTTTTTTTTTTACCCCTAGTTCACTCATTTTAACCACTGGGTAGTATTTGTAGTACTCCTTCATAGAATACTACACCACATTACTTATGTATTCTCTTTCCGATGAACATTTGGACTCCTTCAAAACATTTTTCATTTGCTACTACCCATAATGCTGCATTGAAAATCCCAACACATACCCTTTGTGAGTGTGTATGTGAACTCTCTGGCATAACTAGAATGGGAATAGTTATTCATAGTGATTCATAGGGCACTGATCACTTTGGATTTGCCCAAACACAGCCAACTTATTCTACACAAGGCAAAAATAAATTTATGTATTTATTTTTAAAATGTGTGTTTATTTTGAGAGAGACAGAGTGTGTGTGTGCGCGCGCACTAGCATGTGATGGAGAGGGGCAGAGAGAAGGGAGAGAGAGAATCCCAAGCAGGCTCT